TTCACTTAAGGAAGCTAGCTCTCTGTTCACTTTGTCTCTTCTTCAAATTAGTGCAACAATAATTAACTTAGAATTATATAATGCTAAAGCTGGCAGGGGCCTCAGAGATAATCTGGTCCACTCCCTCATTTTACAGATGAAGAAACTGAGCTCAGAGATAAAGTGACTTTATGCCCATGGTCACATATCTAACAATGTCAGAGGTGGGATTTGAAGCCAGGTCTTTATGACCTTAGTACAACAGTATACTGTCCCAACGTCATCTAGTCCGACCGAAAGAACTAGCCCAGAGTCATATAACCCATTACTTTTAGAGTTGGGGTTAGAACATGGTCATATCAACTCCTAATCCAAGGCTCATCAGACCTGAGCTATTGTCTATTTTCATGAATGAGAAATTAATCATTATAATAAATTGCTCTTGAAGTATTCAGATTTACCTGGAAAGACTTTGGCTGCAAATATTGCTGTATCAGCTCTTTCCATTGTCAGAAGTCATCTGCTTTTCACCCAATCCTACTCTTCTTTCTAATATCTCTATTTTGGACAAGGATAGCGTGGTTCTTCCAATCTCCCATGTTTGAAACCTTTGACCCCTCCCTTCACTCACCTCTCCTAGCTAATCGGCTCATTACCAACTTCCGTCACTTCCAACTTTCCGTCTCTCCCCTTTGTCCCTTGCTCCCTCTTCTATCTGCCCCTGCACCCGCACTACTACCTTTCTGGATTCCCTCAATCGCCTCCTAACATCTCTTCGTGTTTCCACTTCGGGCTTCCTTCAATCGAACCTTCATTACCAGGCTAACCTCCTGTATGCACAGAGCTAGTCATACACGTCATTCCTCTGCTTAAGCATCTCCCTAAGCTTCCCTCCAAGTCAACTCAACGAGCATTTATTAACCACCTAAGGCATTGTTCTGGAGGCTGGGGATTCAAAGACATACACTGTTTTCAAGGGGCTTGTGATCCACTGGGGAATACAAGTTTCCTTATAAAATGAAGGAGAGGGTTCTTTTCCAGCTCTAAACACTGCTGGCACATAGACTCCTTTGATGGGTATTCAAGGCACTCCATGATGTGGCACCAATCTATCTTTCTGTCTTTATCTCCCATTACTTTCCCCTCACGCACTTGACGCTCCAGCCAAAATTGGATTCTCTCTGACTTTCAAATACACCCTACACAGGGCATGGTAAATAGGAGACAATTCATACATATTTGTGGGCTGACTGATTGATCACTCTAGCTCTCCTGCCAACTGGCGGTGTTAACTAGGGAATGTTCAGATCCCAGCCCTAACTTTAGTTCACATCACAGGATCACAATTCCTTCTTCCTGGAATCATCATCCTTCATCTAGAGCCAAGAAGACCTGAGTTCAAATCTGGCTTCCGACATTTACGGGACATTCATACAAGCCACTTCACCTGTCTGCCTCAGTTTCCTCATGCATAAAATGGGGATGATAATAGCACCCACCTCCTGTTCTACCAATGTTTGCTGAAGGAAGGAAATGGAGGAACTTCCTCCGCGGAGAAGAAAAGCATGCTGTTCAGCCATTTCAGTCTTGTCTGGCTCTTTGTGATCCCCTGTGGAGTTTTCTTGGCAAAGATGTTGGAGGGGGTGCCATTTCCTTCTCTAGCTCATTTTATAGATAAGGAAACTGAGGCAAACAACAGAGTTAAGTGACTTGCCTAGAGTCACACTGCTAGTAAGTGTCTGAGGCTGGATTTGAACTCAGGTCTTCTTGACTCTAGGCCTGGCACTCTATCCACTGCACCACGTAGTCGTATCTTTGGCAAAATGCAAGTGTGTTTGTGCACATGTGTATGCATGTGTGTGTGAGTGTGGCTGTTTGATAGTCTGGAGCAAAGAGACGCACTGGACAGGGTCATTGTGAATATCACCAGAGATAGTGGTAAAGCTATCAGCAGAGTGCCTGACACATAGTAGGCACTTCATGTTGCTTTCCTTCCTTCTTTCCATTCTTCACTGCTTGAATAACCTCCCCCACCCTTTAAAGCCCAACTCGAGTGACACTCATTTCCCAAAAGCCTTCCTTGAGCTTTGTCTTCCAAATTCCTAATGATCTTTCCCCTTTGGACCTCACACAATATTTGTTTTGCACCTACTTAATGCAGTGTGTGATAATTATCAGCATTTGTCTCAAGTAGCAAATTCCATGAAGGACTTTTTTTTACATCTCATTTAGCCTAGCAGAGTGTTCTTGCAAAGAGTAACCACCTAATTAGTCAATCAATTTATTAAGCACCTATTACTAGTAGGCATTGTGCAAAAACAAAAACAAAACCAGATCCTTACTTTCAGAAGCTTACATCCTACCCATGTTTGCTGAAGGAAGGAATCAGGGGAACCTCCTTTGAGGGTAAGAAAGGCATTGTGGTTGCTGTTCAGTCGTTTTCAGTTGTGTCCAACTCTGTGGCCCCATTTGAGTTTTTCTTGGCAAAGATACTGGAGGGGTTTGCCATCTTTGATGAAACCCAAGTGTTTGTTTATATTGTTTGATATTCTGAAGCAAGGAGACACACTGACCAGCACCTTATCAAAAGGTGGGATCATTCAACTAAGATCTGTACCTTGGTAGAATGTGGCTTGACTGGCAATGCCTAAAGGAAAGTGTCAAAAGGCAACAGATCACCAGGGAAATTCTGAGCATCTGAGAAAACAGTCTTCCATCAAGAGACTTCCCTAAATGTCCCTGGGTGGTGGGGGTTGTTTTGTTTTATCACATTGCCAAGTCACTCAGTAGAATATGTGTTTGCTCCTTCAGATCAAGGAATTAATTGGTTGGGTAGATATTCAAACTCTGAATTTCACAGTGGGTTAGTAAAAGACACCCAAACTCAGATGAATTATCTTGCTTTGACATGGTTCGTCTCTTGAGTTTCCAAGAATAGGTGAAATAATTCAAATTGCTTATAAGTCTGCTATTGAATTTAAAGGTCACTAGTGCAATGCCTCTGGTGCTAAGCTCTGGCTGTGGATCATGAAACGTGACAGTTTCTGAAGAAGTAAAATTGACAGTCACCCAAAGGGCGACAGAGGGATGCATGGTGGGTGTGAGCAGGCTGTGACATGAGGGGAGAGTGAGGGACACCTGATGGCTGACCCAAGGGCTCCATGGTCATCCATGCAATGTCCAAAGAGGAAGGCTCCCAGTATGTTGCTGGGCTCCTTGTGGCATATTTGTGGGAGGATACAGAAGGGAATCACCGAGGACAGGTAGGCATACAAATGTACTTTGTGCTGTTACAATCTATATGGATAAGTTGTTTAAATCCACAGGCTTCAGTGTCATCATATATAAAAGTGGATTAGACTCAATGCATTGTTGGTAGAGTTGTGACTTGGTGCAGCCCTTCTGGAATGCAATTTGGAACTATGTCCCCAAAGTCACTTTTGGCCCACTGATACCACTACTAGGCTGATGCCCGAAAAGATCAAAGAAAGAAGAAAAGGATTCAAATATGCACAAAAATATTCATACCAGATCTTTTTGTAGTGGTAAAGAAGCAGAAACTAACAGGGTACCCATCAACTGGAAAATGATTGACAAATTATGGTATATGAATGAAATGGAGTGTTATTTTCCTGTAAGCAATGATGAAAGGGACTACTTTGGAGAAACCTTCAGGAAGACATGTACGAACTGATGCAGAGTGAAGTGCGCTAGACCAGGTAAGCAATTTATATGATAATAATAGTGTAAAAACCAACAACTTTTGAAAGACTGAAGAACTCTAATCAGCAATGATCAATCATTATTCCAGGGGGGCCCAATGATGGTTCATGCCACCTATCTCTTCATAGAGAGATGATAGACTCAAGATACAGAACGAGATATACTTTTTGGACGTGGACAATATGGGAATCTGCTTGATTCTACATGTTTGTTACAAGGGTTTTGTTTGACTTCCCCTTACTGCCCCCTCCCTCTGTGGGGTGGGGTGGGGCAGGGTGAGTAGGAGGAGGAAGAGAAAATGCTTGTTAATTAAAGAAAAAAATTAATATAAAAAAGTATTGAGCTAAATGGCCTCAGGCTCCATTTAGCTCCAAATCAATGATCTATAATCCTATGATTTCCCACATCACTAACCTTAAAAGCCATTGAAGCATCTAAGTATGTGTAACTCTTGCTTAACCAACAGTTTCTCATTCATTGCCTAATCTTTTGATTGAACAGAAGAAGGCTGTACTAGGTTTTGGAAAACATAGGTCTTTCAACAATACCAAACTACTCAATCCTACAATTCTTGGAAAACAACAACAACAACAACAACATTCTCCCATACATCTGTAAATCATGGGACTTCACAGTCTCCAAAGAATCAGGTTGTAGATGACTCCCATGGGGTCATAGAGAGATGAATGGTGGGTCTAAGTAGGATATGCCAGCGATGACCTGGAGAGAAGAACTGGTTGAAAGTTCATCTCAAGGACACATTTGACGGGAAGCATACGGTACCTTCTTGTCTTGAGATTGAGGAAGAAAAAGTAGATGGTTATTGTGTAGCTGCCCCGGCACCGAGGAAATATTAAAAGAATCCAAGGAAAGGGCACTGGATTGAACATCTATGGGGGAGTCCCATGAAAGGACTGGACGAAAACTGTAATAGGATGAAAAGATGTGGCGGGTTGATGATTTATATCAGCGGAGGGATATCCAACCCCGCGGAGATCACAAATCACTCAATTACAAATCAGTGGGACAAGGAATACTGACCAGAGTTTACAAACCAGAATTCTTAGAAGTGGTTTATAGCTATAATTTCTGAGCCAGGTACTTTTCAAGGGCCTTTACTCCGCAAAAAAAGAGAGTGGTCTGAGCAAGGAAATGAAGCATGAATACTTTTTGCTTCCCCTTAGGGAGCTGTGGAAATACACTGAACTCCAGGCTTATGGAGGGGTATCCCAGCCCTTGTACCTACTGATTTTGGACCAAGGCTTATTTTCAGCACCCAAGCCACCAGAGGAACTTACGTCATAGCCACTGTTCCGGATTCCTCGTCGGGGTCTCTCCCGTGTCACGAGAAGATCCATCTCAGTTTCTCCTGGACTGGGGCTGTTTAAAGACTGTCGGCTTCGGTACACAGAGTTCTTTATCTGTTGCCTGTAGAAAATCCAATAATTGTCATTATGCAACTCACTCCCGGACAGGGACAGATGGAATTCTCTATTGATCTAAATTAATAGGCAACCAATGAAAATGGTGAATTTGCCTCACAAAACTCCTAAGAAGATGTTAATACTGCTCTTCCCACAAGCCCATATGTCTGAGAAATAAATATCATCAGTCCTGGGGTTTGTGAGGCAAAGCTGGGCCTGGGGAGAGGAGTGGAAAGGCTGCTTGGTACGGCAGAAAGAGGCCTGGCTCAGGAGTCAGAGGATGGAATTCCAGTCCTGTTTGTGAGGCTTACTTACCTGCATGACCTTGTTTCTCATCTGTAAAATGGGGGAGTCGGCTTTTGAAGTCACTGCAAGTTCTAAATATATGATCTTCTGTTGGGAAGCTCACGCTATATCTTTAAGAGTCACAAGAGCAGCTATCATTTAGTCTTAAAGGGAATTGCTTTTTTCCTTATCGAGACTGAACGTCTCCTATCAATCGTGAAAGTCACCTCCCTTCCCTGGGACTTATGCTCCTCATCTGTAACATGACAGGGTTAGACCATGTCTTCCTTAAGATCTGTTTAAATCCCAGAACAATAATGATGAATTCATGCTCCTGCTGCAAATTCCAGTTGAGAGATGGCACAGCTGTGCTGGAAGAGAGGGTGGTCCATCCCTGAGGAAGTCTGACCTAGGCTTTCTCCCAGACCCACTGTAGGAAGCAGGGGGATGCAGCAATTGGGGAAGACAGGCCCTGGGCAACGGGAGCCAGAGCAACAGGACTGTAGAGTGTGGTGGGAGGCGGCTCAGGGTCAGAGCAGAGCGCACACGATGCACGGCCTAGGCTGCCTGCTTGGTGAAAGATCACAAGGAAGTAAGGATGCCAAGCCAGAGGGCAGAAACACGCCTTCTGCCTTCCCTGATATGAGTGCCTCGGGGCACAGAACCAGTCGCCCTTTCCTGGTGAAGGCGCTGCTAACGCTTAGAAAGGCACCCATTGGCTCTGCAGTCTCAAACCTTGGACGATGCACGGGGCAAGACACAGATTATTTCCTTGCCTTGTTTAAGGAAACAAGACTCAGGATATCACCTGCTTTCATTAACCTTTTATTCTTCAGACTCAAGGACTCTAAGAAGCCGCCTCCCTGCAGCAGCCAAAGACAGAGGCATCCCCTCTTTGTCACTCCCTTGTCCACCTCCCAAAGAGCTGGTGCTCTGGAGAGCAGCTCAGCAGGCTCTCTTAAGCAATTGCTAAGGATTCCCTTCTAAGTGGAAGGCAATCAGGGACACGAACTTAAACATCTGGCAGCCACAACAAATCCATGGTTGTCTTCTCAGCATTCCCTCCTGTTCATCTATCAAAGCTCACAGTAACGTGGATGAAGAGCTAAAAAGGACCTCAGAGGTCCTAATCTAATGCCCTCATGTTATGGAGAAGGAAACTGAGGCCCAGGCAGATGAAGGGACTTGCCTGGAATCACACAAGTAGCAAGTGCTGCGGGTAGAGATTTGGTGAGTTAGGGGACCCTTAACCGCAGAGCCAGTGGTCTTCCCATTGTACTGAGATGCTTCTCTTACTATCAGAAAGTGTTTTTCTAAGCTTTGAATAGTAAGGAAGCCTACCAGCTCTCTGTGGAAACAGTTCATGCTCCCATTTCATAATGGGATGATAATATTCCATAGTAAATTCCAATGATGATACCATGACAACTATTAGGGAACAATGATTCTATAATGTAATACAACATAACAAAATATGATAATATATTATAACATATCATAATAGAATAGAATCCATTTAATTCCAGATACGAATTCTGTAAATTCCAGTTTACAAAGAGTTTTCGTCATAGTGACCCTGGGAAGTACAAGTAATATTATACCCATTTTATAGATGAGGAAACAAAAACTCTCAGAGATGAAGTGAATTGTTATGTGATGAGTAATGATTGGAGCTGGGATTTTTAACCTCACATATTCTGACTAGAACATAAGCTCTTGAAGGGCAGGGACAATTTCAATTTTGATTTTGTATCCCTAGCAACGAGTATAGTGTCTGGCTCACAGCTGGCATTTAATAAGCGTTGGTCACTTAACTGTTTGATTGCTTTATTGACTGACTATAGGATCTAGGCACTTTCCACCACACCATGCTGGCTTTCAACATGTTGAGTGGCAAACGTTAATCTCTCGATTTTGAGATGGGGGAAAGAGACTCAGTGAGATTAGGCGACATTTTCGAGATCACAGAGTCAGGGGCAGAGAGGCAGGACAAGAATACTGCCTCTTTAATATTTCCTGAGCAAACTTGCTATCCATAGCCCCTAAATTCAGGGAACTCTCAGGAGCTTTACACATTCTCCCTCCTAACTTTTTAAGTTCTTGGACTGGATGGGAAATTAAGGGTGCAGTGATATGAATCTCTCTGCCTCTCCCCTCTCTCACCCAGCCTTCACAAAGCTGCCACAGTGATATTCCTAAAGCCATGTCCCTGCTCAAGAAGCTTCACTGGCTCCCAACTGCCACTAGGGAGAAGAACAAAACTCCTCTGTCCAGCATTTCCAGCCCTTTGTCATCTGATTCCAACCTATGTTTCACCGAGACTGATGATACGTGACAACTCTCATCCTCTACAGTCTAACTAACCTGACATACTCACTGTTCCTCATATGCAAAACTCCATTTGCCCATCACACGCCCTTGCATAGGCTATCCACCATACCTGGAATGCATTCCCTCCTTCCCTCTACCTTGTTGATCCCCTACCTGGCTTCCCACATATCACTGCTCAGATATCACCTCCTACATGAGGTCTTTCCTCATTGCCCCTCACTCCAGTTGTTAATGTTCTTTTCTCCTTGAAATTATAGAAGCACAGAATCTGAGAGATGAGATGGATTTCGATGGCCATCTGGTCCAACCCATACACAAAAGGAATCCCCATTATAACATACCTAAGAAGTGGTTATCCGGGTATGGCTTGAAGACCTCCAAGGAGCAGGAGCCCACACCTCTTGAGGCAGCCCCACACTACCATTAATCACTCTGTGCAGGTGACTACACACCCATACCCACACACTCACACAGGTGCAAACTGCACCTACATTTTTCTGCAGGTAGGGTAGACACAATTTCATCTGCAGGTAGATACAATTTCATCTTGTTTGGGAAATAGGGTATTTTCTGAGCAACTCACACACTATCAAAAGCCCCAAAGTGTTCACATCCTTGACCTAATTACAAATCATTTTTGGAAAAGCAGACTTTCCAATTGTCTGGAGATTGCCAATTAGCCCATTTAGAGAAGATTCACTAACAAGAAGGGAGACACTGGGATTAGCAATTGACGTTTAAGTAGGTTATTTTGTGACTAGGAGGAATAGACTCCAGGATTTTCAAATAACCACCCAAAAGTTTGAGATGAGACCTAGCTTTCCTGGTCTCCCTTGTGATGCTGGGCAAGTAACTGAATCTCCCTGGGTCTCAGGTGCCTTCCGGCTCCAAATCCATGATCCATCCTTCTTTCCTTTCTCCCTTCCTTTCTTCCTCCCTCCTTCCCTTCCTTTTATCCGCCCTTTCTTCCTCCCTCCACTTTTCCTTCCTTCTTCCCTTCCTTCCTTCCTCCCTCCACTTTTCCTTCCTTCCTTCCTTCCTTCCTTTCCTTCCTTCCTTCCTTCCTTCCTTCCTTCCTTCCTTCCTTCCTTCCTTCCTTCCTTCCTTCCTTCCTTCCTTCCTTCCCTCCTTTCTCCCTACTTCTCTATACCCCATTTTTAGAGTTAATGCTTTATGGCTGTCTTTCAAATTGATTTTTCACATGGATCCCAATGGATCAGACCTACCAGGTAGACACATTTCTACCTGAGCATAAATTAATGACTTCAATCCACTCCAGTTCTAATTATAGACACCATGTCCAGATACTCTTCCTCCTCAGCTCTATCTCTGCAATCCCTAGCATGAAGGCTCAGGTCAAGGGCTGTCTCCAACAGGAGGTCCTTCCTAATCCTGGTTTCTGCTCCTCCCTGAAATTGCTTTGTTTTTAATTTATATTACTATGTACATACCATTTTTCCTCAGTAGACTGTAAGCTTTTTTGAGGGAAGAGACTGTTCGCTTTTTTGCTTTTTATTTCTAATACCTAGAGTAGCACCTGGCATATTTTGTTGTTTTTCAGTCCTCATGACCCTATTTGGGGTTTTCTTGGCACAGATACTGGAGTGGTTTGCCATTTTCTTCTCCAGCTCATTTTACAGATGAGGAAACGGAGGCAAACAGGGTGAAATGACTTGCCCAAGGTCACACAGCTAGTAAGCGTCTGAGGCCAGATTTGAACTTCCTGATTCCAGGCCCTTCGCTCTAGTCACTGTACCACCTAGCTGCCCAAGGCACTTAATAGACACTTTTTGAATTGAATCAAACAGGTCTTACTATGAAATCTGCATCTTTTCAAGTATTTTTTTTTCAAGTCACTAACACTATGGCCCACAGTCAGTAGTTACACCAAGCTAGCCTAAGTAGTGTCACGGTAAATTGGGCACTGGTTTAAGAGTTATTTCTTTTCTTTATTGAAAATCAAACCACATTGATTCGACTTGTGAAGTGAAGGTGATGCCTTCCAATTTGGTTTTGTAACTCTGGTTATTTCATAGTGAGCAAAGCCTCACTTGAGCCGGCAAATACTCCATCCCTCCTCGTGGGAAGCATCTAGGCCAAGCCTGTTGGTTGCACTGATAGATCTTGAATCCCAAAGCTCTGCTTATTTTGTTTATTCTACCACTTAGTTATTTCCTTTTTATTGATATATTTTAACTCTGCATCATCTTTGCTTCCCAATATATTTCTCCCTCTACCCTACCTAGCAAACCATTCTTTGTAAGAAAAAGAGAAAAAGGGGCAGGGGCATTTCAGCCAAACCAACCAACCCACCAACCATACTTGACAGCATGTGCAATGGTCTACACCCGTGGTTCCCCAACTCTGCAAAGAAGGGTTCATATACTTAGAGTTGGAAGGGACCCAAAACCATCTAGGCCAATACTCTTACTTCAGGGATGAGGAAGCTGAGGGCCAGAGAGATAGGGTGACTTGCCAGAGGTTATACTAAGAAGTAAAGGACAGAGGAAGGTCATGAACCCAGGTCCCCGCTTCCAAAGCCAGGCCTCTTTCCAGGGACCCATATTTTCTCAGTTCTTCTTCAAGGCTAAGCCTAGTCATTAAAATGATACAGGAGAATGTTTGATTTAAAGTTCTATTCCATAGGATCACAGATTTAGAGCTGGAAGAGGCTTGAGTGGGCATCTGGCCTAATTCCCTGATCTTAAAAGATGAGAAAATGGAGGTCAAAAGACATCAATTCAATTCAATAAACATTTATTAAGCTCCTATTATGTTCCGTGGGGCAGCTAGGTGGTGCAGTGGATAGAATGCCAGACCTAGAGTCAGGAAGACTCATTTTCCTGGGTTCAAATCTGACCTCAGACATTTACTAGCTGTGTGACCCTGGACAAGTCACTTCACCCTGTTTGCCTCAGTTTCCTCATCTGTAAAATGAGCTGGAGAAGGATATGACAAACAACTGTAATATCTTTGCCAAGAAAATGCCAAATGGGGTCAAGAAGAGTCAGCCATGACTGACACGAATCAACAGCAACAACTATGTGTCAGGCATTGTGCTAAGCAACGGGGATACAAAAAGAGGCTAAAGACAGTCTCTGCCCTCCAGGAGTTTACAACCTAAGCGACTTGTACAAGGCCACAAGATTTAGGTGACAGAGCTTAGATTCAAAACCAGGTTCACTGACTCCAAAACGTAGGTCCTTTCCTACTATATCATGTTGATTGATCCTAAACAAACCAGCCCAGATGACCAGCTCAGGTCAATGGGTTGATTTCCTGCCACACTTAGCTTCCTCCAGGGGTCTTCTTTTATTTATTAAGTACTTAGTATATAGGACCTCGAAACCGGCACTGTGGGGAACACAGAAATGAAAGAGAAAATGAATCATTTCCTGTATATTCTGTCCTTCCAGGCTTTCATGCTGCTGCTCTCTCTTGGTTCCCTTCCCACCTGGCTGCCCACTCCTCAGTCTGGAGTTTCATCCAGGTAGTGCCCACTAAACATGAGGCATGGCCTGTGCTCCTCTTTAAGCTCTATGCTATCCCCACTTGGTGACTTCTTTAGCTCCTATCAGTTCAATTATCACCCCTATGCAGACGATTCCTAGATATGTATATCCAACCCTCATCTTCTCCTGAGATCTGGTCTGCCATAGAGACATCTTGAACTGGATATGTGTCAGGCATGTCAAACTCAACATGTCTAAAACAGAACTCATTATTCCCCCCCCCCAACCTTCCTCTTATCCTTAACTTTCCTATTGCTACAAGAGATGGGAAAGACCTTACTTAATTTTTTTAAATCTTTTTTTTTATTTTTAGGCCATTGGGGTTAAGTGACTTGCCCAGGATCACATAGCTAGTAAGTGTCAAGTGTTTGGTCTGAGGCTGGATTTGAACTCAGGTCCTCCTGACTTCAGGGCCGGTGCTCTATCCACTGTGCCACCTAGATGCCCCTGAAAGACCTTACTTTAGAAAGGTTAATGTCACCCACTGCATCCTGGGCCATCTCCAGTCATCTTGACCTTCATCTTGAGACTAGACTTCAATGATTCTGGAGGAGAGAGTAAGGCTCATGACTTTGCATAGCTCTGCCTTACTCAAATCCAATTCAGGCACAAGTCAAGACATCTCTCATGATGTCATTGGTCCTCTTTAAGAATGAAGGACGAACAACAACAACTCTGAGGGCATCATCATCTTCCCATTCACCCAAGTTTGCAACCTTAGCATCATCCTTGACCCTTCACTCTGGGTTGACCCCAGTCTCCACATATAAACAATCCGTTGTGAAAATCTCTCCTGTATTTACATAGCCATGGCCCTAATAAGCCCTCATCACCTTTCACCTGAACGATTACAATAGCTTTCTAATTATTCTTTCTATCTTTTATTTTCCCATTCTGCTTCATCTTCCACTTGGCTGCCAAAATTATTTTCCTAAAGCATAGTTCTGACTATATTACTCAACAAACTTCCGTGGCTCCCTATGACCTCCAGAACTAATTTAAAGTAGTCTGACCAACATTTGAAGCACTTCAAAAACCTCTCTCCTTCCTACCTGTCCAGCTTCCTTGCCCTTTACTCCCTTTGACATATTCTATCCATGCTATAGCTATCCTAGGTTCACTTGCCATTCCTTACATGTGACTCTTTGTCTCTGGACTCCATTCCTTTGTAATGTCTGTGCCTCATGCCTGGAATGCTTTCCCTTTTCCCCTTTGTTTCTTAGTTACCCTGGCTTTCTTCAAGACTGCTCAGATCCCACCTTCTGCAGGCTTTTCCAGGAGTTCCACCCCCCCATCCCCTACAACTGGTAGCATTTCCTCTTTCAATTCCTCTTCTATCTGTATTTATCTCATGGGTACCTAGTTATTTACATGACGTTTCCCCTGTTAGAGTTCTTGAGGACAGGGACAGCATTTTTGCCATTTTTGTAACCTAAGTGTTTGGAAGGACGCCTGGAATATGGTAAATGCTTGATAATTATAAACGCCTGTTGACTGACTGACTGGCTGATGACAGATAATCAAGACGTCATATTTTCTAGCCAGTCCTGGAAATCTCTGTGACCCAACCTTATTCCTACCTGCTCTGTTCTCAATCTTCATCCACGCCCGGGCCTCTGAACATACTTGTCATTCCTAGTAAACTTCCACTCAAGTGCTCATAAATAAAGGTGCTTAATAAATGTTGACTGATAACTGATGGTTTCAATTCAGTTCAGTCTTACTTGACTCAATAAGCAGTTATAAAGCATCTGTTCTGTCCAACACTCAGCCCTTGCCCTCAAGAAGCTTACATTCAACTGAGAGCTTACCTTCTCTGCAAAGTGTTTCAGAGAAAAGTAGCTTGGAGGGAATTTTATGTCTCCGCAAAATGAATAGCCCTAAAGTTCAGCTTAAGAAGATGGAAAGGCAAACTATTTATCTGCCTGAAACCCAGGAGATAATGTCAACACGCAGCTCTCTGTATCATTCTTCTCCAATTTATGACATGTTTGCGCATCAGAGAAAAAACCCATCCCAGAAAAATAGACATTTGGCCCAGCACCGAACCCACGCAGGAGGCTTACAAGACTTCATGGATGAAATTTTCCTCTTCTTTTGGGGGGAGTTAACAATTGGGCAGCAAAGGAAGACATATTGAAAGCAGGAAGGGACCTCAGACACATTCTATTTCAACCCTTTCATTTTATAGGTAAGGAAACTGAGGCCCAGGGGTAGTAAATTATTATTTCCAGATGAGAGAATTAAGCCCCAGGGATAGTAAATGACTTGCCCAAGATCACCTAGCTAGTAAGAGGCAGAGTTAGGATGTAAACCCAGGCCCTCTGATTCCAATCCAATCCAACAAGCATTTATTAAACTCCTACTACATGTCAGGCACTGGGTTCCCAAAATTAAAAATGGTCCCTGCCCTCACAGAGTTTCTACTGGGGGTGAATCACACATGCACAAAAGTACAAGATATATCCATTTATTTATATATCAATAACACACACACACACACACACACACACACACACACACAGAGTGCCATTCCAGGAGAAAAGCATTAAGAACTGGAAGAAATCAGGAAAAGCCACCTGTAGGCATTTGCCCTGAATTTTAAAGGCAGAGTTTCTGGGAAGTGGAGGAGAGGAGGGAGAGAGAAATCATCTGCAAAGTCACAGAGGAAGGAGATGGGACATCACTGCCATTTCCCTGGCCACTGAATGAGTGAGTGAGGGGTAGACATGCACAACCAGCTTGCAGAGACAGGGCTGGAGCCAGACTTAGAAGGACTCTGGATGCCAGACAAAGCAGATTGGATTTTATCCTAAAGGCAATTGGGAGCCATTGAAAATTGGATGCTCTTTCCAGTGGACCACAGAAGAAACCTAGGAGGTTATTACATCTTCCTCCAGCCCTGGAAACATCTCCCGATTGACCAAACCATCTCCTCATGACTATCCTTCACATGGCAAGGTAGCTGAAACAAACCATGTAAGAAGTTCAGTTATAGTCTTCTCTCTCATGTCCTTCTGTCTCTTCCATTTATTCCCCTGCAAACATATTGAGCCCTGAATTTCAGATCCCATCTGAGTCCCAATCAATAACCTTGATCCAGGAGAAAGGATAACGGGCACACACTGCCAACAACCGCGGAGCCAGAAACGCATCGACTCGGGGCACCTGCTGCCCCTTTAACATCGATCGCGTTTCCCGGGCTTCAAGGCAACAGACGGACTTACCTGTTCTTAGGTTCGCCAAACGGAGAGGGCACCTCCGACTCGGGATCCAGGACATGGTCGATGTCTTTCGGTGCTTTCTCGTACATCTTTCTTTCTGTCAGAGCCTTGTTGCCCTCCGCCTGGGGGAAGTCATAATAGCCTTTCCGTTTTGCCTTGAGGCGCAGTTTGTTGCGGTAATGTTCAATGTCAGACTTCTGCTTCAAGGCCTTGTTCACCTGCGGAGGGAGCGAATTCTCAGGCGGGTGACTGAGCAGGTGTGTGAGGCTCTGGATCAGCCTGCCAGGGCTTTTCCCCAGACGCTGCCCTGCATTTTTATTTTTTGGTCGAAACCTGTGAGTTCGTTGGCATACGGATTTCCTTCTACCACAGCAAAATCAGCACCTGCTTTGCAATTTGTAAAACTAGCGAGCCGACTGGGAGCAATGAAAGGGTAAGGCGCTGTCTGTATCACAGGCTGACCTTGTACGCAGGTCCTCCTGACTCTGAGGCCGGCTCCCCACCCCTACAGCACACTGCCTTTCATCTCGCATTTTTGTCCGCTCTATGGAAATTCAAGTGCCATACGGGACATTATCACCCTCTTGTAGCTGCAAACTGAGAAGAGGCATGGAACAGTGGGAAAAACTGGGTTCAAGTCTCAGCTCTTCTATTTTCTACTCGTGTGGCCACGGGAAAATTCCTTCTCTGAGTCTCAGTTTCCTTATCTATAAAATGGAGATAACACATAGACTAAATACTTCAGAGACTGCTGTAAAGTGATGTAAATATAAACTATGGTGACACCAATTAGGACTTTAGTCTTCTTATGTTATAGTAGAAAAGTGCTGGACTTGCAGTGAGAGGACCTGGGTTCAAATCCTGCTGTCACCTACTACCTGTGTGACCTTGGGAAAGTCCCTTAACTGCTCTGGATTTGAATTTTCTCATCTGTGTAATGACATATATAATATCATATTATATCATATATTACATAATACAATACAATGTGGTATGATGTGATATATGATATAATTATAATATGATATATATGATATGATATAATGACTTTAAAGGTTCCCTCCAGCTCCAAATCCAAGCACCAGTCAATAAACATTTATTAGGCACCTACTAATAGTGAACAGATTTCTGACCTTGAAGCCAAGAAGACCTTATTCAAGTCCTGCCTCTGACAAACCGTGGCAGTGAGACTCTGGGCAGATCCTGCAACCTGCGGTATCCCCAGGCAATTGCCTAACACTGGGTCTTCAAATTCCAATAGAAGCAGATCTCTGCAGGCTGCCTACAGACTTAGAAAACCACAAATCAACACTGCCTAGGTTTTGTCATATTTTAATTTGTTTCATTCAACATTTCTCAATTACATTTGAATCTGCTTCAGTCCCACTAACAGCCTTGGAACTTCCCAACGGTTTGACACCTCTGCTCTAAGATGTTAAGATACAGACAAGAGTTAACTTGCATCATTGTAGGGAATTTCCTCCTCCCTGAGCTCCCTAGGAAATCATAGGTTTGGGCATTAACCCTAATCCTGATTCTATGCCCCAGGAATTGCAAGCACTGGTAATACAAAGACAAAAAAAAAAAAGCAGTCCTTCCCTGAGGAGTCTGGATGACAAGTAATGTCCATTCCTGTCCATTGTAATAAACTAAAATTAGGTAATGAGTCTTCATTTCTAAGAAAAATGTTTATCTCCTATTCTTTGGTTATAGGGAGATGGGCCAGTAGATAGAAAGCAAACAGAAAATGGGAGGCATATTGAGTTAAGCAATTACATTCAGAGCAAGGATTTTGAATTTGTTATCATGACAAACATAGCAATAAAATGAGCAGATAAACTGTGCATCATTAGCTAATAAACGAACATATGATTGGGTTATCAGGGGACTGACCTCCACTCAGAAGGGCCCACCATGGTGAGCCTGAATGCAGGCCATAAATTAGAGGATCAAAGGTTTAGAGGCCTTCTAATCCACCTCCTCATTTAAACAAATAAGAGACTTGCCTAGAATAACATAGTTAATTAGCATATAAAATGGGATTTGAACCCAAGCTGTCCTGATTCCAAGTTCTGGGGACTAAGAGATGGGGTTCCACTCTCAACTCAGTCACTAACTAGCCAAGTGAGCCTGGGCAAATCATTTCATTTCTGTGACCCTCAGTTTCCTCATCCATAAAATGGGAACAAGTGTACCTGACCTATTTGCCTCTTGGGGTTGCCATTGTGAGGATCAAATGGAGTAATTTCTAAGAGTATTAAATATACGATGTATCTGTAAACTGTTAAGTGTTATATAGATTACAGCAAGTGATAACAGAAACATTTATATAGCACACAGACATAAAGAAGCACTTTAATGTACATGATCCCATTTAATCATAATACGGTACCTGAAGGTTAACAAAGCACATTACAAATCCTATCTTAGTTTGTTTTCATAATCTTGGGAGGTACATGCTATTATTATCTGTTTTACAGATGGGGAAACTGAGGCAGAGCGATGAAGTGACTTGCCCAGGGTCACACAGTCAGTATGTGCCTGAGGTTGGATTTGAACTCAGGTCTTCTTAACCTCAGGTCCAGTGCTCTATCCACTGAACCACCCAGTTGCCTCATTTGGCCCTCATGATAACCTTGTGAGGCAGGTGCCATTACCATCTCCATTATACAGATGGGGGGGGCAAGTCTCAGGGTGATCAAGTGATTGATTTCCTCATGGTCATAACTAGCAAGTATTTGGGATGGGACTTGAACCTAGGTCTTCCTGACTACCAAACCAGTGCTGCATCTATCACTTGTAAGTATCACTGGACGGTTCTGCATCAGAACTACTCTATGCTGGCCTATTTTGACAGTGACATCTTATCAAACATTTTTTAAAATAATTTTTCAAACAAACATCTTTTGTCTTTATAGCATTTTTATTTCCATATGTATCCTTCTCATACTTCTATTCAGTGAGCCCCTCCTTGTAACAAAGATTAAACAGAAAGTCAGCTTGATAAAAGGATCATGTCCTGCAACATATGCTACATCAGGTTTTCTCTGGCTCAAAGCTTGGTCATTATCAACATACCTTATTAATAAACATTGTGTTTTCTGATGAAGATTCAAATCTACAGTAGAAAATGCACTTTAAAAATCACCTAACACAAATTTTGGTGTGACTTGGCAGCTTAGATTAGTCCAGGGGTACACTCTATAATCACCAATGGGGTATTAGTTTACATAATGAGAGAGAGAGAGACAGAGAGAGAGACAGAGAGAGAAGAGAGACAGACAGACAGACAGACAGACAGACAGACAGACAGGTAGTAGTGGATAGAGCCCTGGCCTTCAGAATTAGGAAGACTTGGGTTCAAGGGCCTTTTCTAATAAACCTTTTATGCCCCTGGCAACTCTCTAAGACTCCAAATTATTGAGCAGCCACTCTCTGCATTGCTGGAGGAAGTTTCTTATGAAAATATGGCTGCCCTCCAGGCTCTGCCCTGGACCCTCCTTTCTTCTCCCTCTATATAACATCACTTGGTGATCTCATCAGCGCCAGGCTGTTCAATTATCATCCCTAAGCAGTTGATTTCCAGGTCATATATCCAGCTCTAGTATTTCTCCTGAGCTCCAGTCCCTTATCACCAAACACCTTTTGGACATCCTGGACTAGATGTCCTAAACAGGCATTTCAAAGTCAACATGTTCAAAACAGAATTCATTATCTTTCCTTTTCAACCTCCCCCTCTTCCCAGCTTTCCTATCACTGTTGACGGCACTGCCATGTGCTTGTTCCCTCACTATAATCCTCAATCTCTCACTCTCAATTACTCTAATCTGTCGCCAAATTTTATTTCTCTCTTCAGGATATCTAGAGTACGTTTTTCTTTCTCTCTACATACACAGTCACCACCCTCTTTCAAGCCATATCCCCTCTTGCCAGGTCTATTGCAATAACCTTCTAAATGGTCTTACTGCTTCATGACCCTCTGCACTCAAATTGATTCTTCCCTCAGCCATCAAAGTAATTTTTTAATCACTCTCCCACTCAATAAACTCCAATGTCTCCCCATTACCTCCAAGATCTAACATAACTTCTGTTTGTCATTTAAAACTCTTTTCAACCTAAACACTTTTCCCCTCCCCCTATTTTCTTATATTTTACTTCCTGGTACACATTCTACAATAGAACTAGACTAGCCCACATACTTGTCCAGAATTCCTAATTTCCCACCTCTGCATCTTTGCTTTGGCTGTTCCCCATGCCTGGAATGCTTTCCTACCTCACTTCTAACTCAACCTCCCTGGCTTCCTTCAAGATTCAGCTCAGATTCCAATTTATTTAGAGATCTTTCATGTTCCCTCTCAGCTGCCAGTGCCTTCTCTCTGCACTCACCTTCTACCTATTCTGTATTTATACTTTTTGTCCCTAGCAATTTTCAAGTTGTCTCCTTTATTAAAATGTGAGTTTCCAGGGGCAGCTGGGTGGCACAGTGGATAGAACACTGGCCCTGAAGTCCGGAGGGCCTGAGTTCAAATCTGGTCTCAGAACAAACACTTGACACTTACTAGCTGTGTGACCCTGGGCAAGTCACTTAATCCCAATTGCCTAAAAGTAAAAAATTTAAAATAAAATAAAATGTTGAGTTTCTCGAAAGCAGGGATTGTCTTTGCCTTTTAAAAAAATTCCTAGGGCTTAGTACAATTCCAGGCACACCATACATGCTTAATAAATGCTTTTGGACTTGACTGGAAACACCTTAACACCAATGAAATCACAGGTCCCTGGTGATCCATATGTGAATGTATTTATTATGGAGTGGAGTGGTCTGAAACTATACATGCACAAGTGTACATACATATGTTATGTGTGTGTGTGTGTGTATGTGTGTATGTACAGTTATCCCTTCTACATCACGAATTTCCCCATAGTGGCTTTGATATATCATGGCTCAGCATAGGAAATTAAATGGGAATTTTGGGGGAGTTTTGCAGAAGCTGCAGATGACACATGAATGCCAGCAGATGACACACAAAAAGATTAGAAACTCAGAAATGCATAAAATATATGTATAGTAGTGTATAATATCAACATATTTTGTCTTTTAATACCTTACAAATTCAGACTTCTCTGTTATGAAAGGAGGGCCAAAAAATTTTACATGGATTTTCCAGATCATGGGGGTACTGCACCCCTAACCCCTGCAATGTCAAAGGGATAACTGTGTATATACACAAACACACATACATATGTGAAGAGCTTTGAATGCCCAACAGAGGATTTGATATTTGATCCTGAAGCTAATAGGGAGACATTGGAGTTTACTGGGTAGGAGAATGCCATGATCTGGGATCAGCTATATATGTATGTGTATATATGCACACACAAATATATACATATATGTGCATGTGTAAATGCACACATGTATGTATGCATATATACATGTGTGTATGTATATATGCACACATACACCCCTATATATATGTGTGTATATATATATAGATGTATACACACACACACACACACACACACACACACACACACACACACACACACACACAGATAGCCCCAGACCACCTCACTTCCTGGGACTGCACAGGTCTCAGAGAACCTGGTCACCAAAGATAAAACTGAACCAGAAGGAAGCAGATAAATCTAAAGAGAAAAGATTTGCTTGCCTCTCATTCTGGCTGCATTTCTGAATCAACCATAAATCATCACAGGTCCAGACCTTTCCCACTGAAAAAAAAAAAGATTCCTGCCTAGTTATTCAGAAACAACCTTTCCCTCCTTGGGTTCTCTCAAGTCTGATGACTGATTTTCGCCAGCATCTCCCCAAAGCCCTTACCTCTCCATTAATGATGGCTGATTCCTGGCTCCGTTCAGACGCCGGGTGGGCAGGGGCCAGTGTGGCTGGCTTGATAGCGATCAGCTGTACAGAGCCGGAGGATGCGTCGAATGGATCAGCCACAGGCTTGCCTGTGCTGTCAAAGAGACCCGCACCTTCTTCTTCATCGCTCACGGGCACTAAGGAAAAATACAAATGACTTTACTCCACGGTGGCTAGTGGGTAAGACGTGGTATGAGAGATGCCACCAGAAGATATATGATCAGATAAACAGTGGGGAGGGAGTCATGGAGAGAAAGAGCAGGGAGGTAACTGATAGACAGCCTGAAAGAGGTCCGGGCAACCATGGAATGGGAAAAGTCCTCAAGAATTGTCTTCTGTGCTGTGCAGAGTTAGAGCCTTTACCGAGAAGGTGAGGGAGAAGAGGAACAGACTGGTGGACTGGACTTGAGGTCAGGAGTCCCAGGTTCTATTCCCACCTCTGACACCTAGTAGCTGGATGACCTAGTCATTCACTACCTGTGTGACTGTGGACAACTCATTCAACCTTCCTGGGACTCAGTTTCCTCATCTATAAAATAAGGAAGTTGCCCTCTGAAGTATTCTCCAGGTTTAGGTCTGTGATTCCGAATCCTCAATTCTCTCTGCCACTTACTGCTTTTTTGACATTGGCTTACAACGGTGCCTGGCACACAGTAGGTTCTTCATAAATGCTAGCTGACTGACAAGTCACCACCTTTCTGGGACTGGTTTCCGAATCTTTAAAGTGAAGGGGTTGGACTTAGATATCTTTGAAGTCTCTTCCAGCTCTGGTTCTGGGAGCTGATGTCCCAGAATCATTTTGAAGGTGAGGTCCTTAAAGAAAGGGATCAGGTTTTTGCTTTTCTTTGTAGCTCCACTGCTCAGCACAGGGCTTAATAAATGCTTGTTGGGTTGATTGAATGGCTGGGCTTCTTCAATATATATATATATATATATATATATGTGTGTGTGTGTGTGTGTGTGTGTGTGTGTGTGTGTGTGTGTGTGTGTGTGTGTGTATGTATTTTGGTGAAAGGAAAGGGTTAGATTAGAAAACCAATAAGGTGCTTGAAGGCTCAAGACCCATAATGACATGATTGGTAATTTTAAAAACCTTGATTTTTAGAGCCTCTTCAATCAGTTAATCAATAAGCATTTATTTAGCACCTGCTGTATGCACTGTTCTAGATGCTTGAGATGCAAAGACAAAAATGAAACAATCTCTGCCCTCAAGGAACTTACATTCTGGGGAAGGTGAGGGGAGCAGCAATATATATATATATATATACACACACACACACACACATATATATACACATATATATATACACACTATATATATATATACACACACACATATATATACACATATATATATACACACACTATATATATATACACACACACATATATATACATATATATAAATATAAGTACCTTGCATTTACATTATATATTATATATAATATATAATGTATAACATATGGTATATAATATATGCTATATATATAAATGCAAGGTACTTTTTTGAGAAGAGACACCAGCAGCTGGAGGCGTCAGGAAGGGATGTGCGTAGGAGGTGGCCTTTGAGCTGAGCTTTCATCGAAACTAGACATTTTAAGAGGCAAATGTGAGCAGGGAGCACATTCCAGCAATGGGTGACAAAGTGCTGCATGCCAAGAAGTCATCTCACCATTTTCAGCCTCAAGTTCCTCATCTGGAAAATGGAGATAGTCATATTTTCATGACCTACCTCACAGAGTAATTCTTTTCTGCTATTTCCAAGATTTGTGATTTCATTAATATAAGAGATCCTCTTAACCATGTAGATCATTACAATTTAATTCAACAAGCATTTTTTAAGACTCTACGAAGCTAATGAGTGGAGGTTGGCAGACAAAAGTATAACTATTCCTGCCCTCAGGGAGCTTACATTTTAGTAGGAACAATACATACACATATGAGTAAACTAAAAATACTACAAGTCATTTCAGAGAGGGGGCAATACTGACATTAGGAAGGATCAGGAAAGGTCTCCAAAAGATGGCGGCCCTTGAGCTAAACCTTGAAAGAGGTAGGGATTTTAGGGAGCAGAGGGGATGAAGAAGCCCATGGGGCTATGGTTAGCTTGTAAATGGTGCAATGAGGGTTCAAACCCAACTCTCCCTAACTCCAGGGCAAGCACAGTTGACTACACAGGTCAACTTTGGCCTTGTCTTGTTTGGAAGCAGGCCAACTATTCCACTTGGCCACCATTTTGAAATTATGTTGCCTGCACTCAGGTCATTATCCACCTCCCTCTCTTATTGGAATTTGGGCTCTAACCCTGAGCTCATGCCATGATTTGAAATACAGCATAACTCTCCCCCACCTCCCTAGTTGTGTTGCCTTTTCCTGTTAGGATATGAGCTCCTCAAGGGCAAAGTCTGTCTTGCTTACTTGTACTTATATCTCTGGTATTTAGCAGAGTGCCTGGCACATAGTAAGACCTTAATAAATACTTCATTCACTCATTCATACCATGATACCTCCACTTACAGAGCAATAATTCAATCAATAAAATGCTGGGCTATATTTTATCTAGATTTGGATATCAAAGTTAACTTTCCATCTCATAAACATTTATTGAGTAAAGACTGCAGTGTGTTCAGAAAGAGGAAAGCAAAGCTGAAATAAGATGCAGTTCCTGACCTCAGAAAACTTACAATATTAATGTTATTCATAAATGTTGCTGATCCCTTTGGGCCAAAGAGGCCCCAGTTCTAGAAGGCAATATTCCCAAATAACGGAATTTCCTACTGAAATCAAAAGAATCTGCACTTTGGAGGGTCAGTCCTCGGAACTTGCCTGATGCACAGAAGTGAGTGACTTGCTAAGACTCCCTGAGCTATCAGAAGTGGACAGTTCAAACCCTTCTCTTCCTGACTCTAAGCTCTATCCACCATGCCACATTTCCAATCATAAATCATTCCTTCTTGAATGATTTTATGATTTGATTGATTTCTTTATTCAAAAGCAACATATCCCTTTCCCACAAACAACTGTAAAAGGCCAATTTATGGAGATACCATCTATTTCCCTGTAGATTCCCCTCATTTGACAGAAGTAACCTATTTCTTGTCTATGGCAATCACCTGCTGGGTGCTTGCCCTGCCCCAAGTCAATCCTACTGCATTGAATTGTCAAGCTGGCCTTCCTCAAGCACAAGACTGACCATGTTACCCTTTCTCCCAAAACACCCAGGGGCTCCATATTATCCTCAGATCAAATACAAGGTCCTCTGTTTGGCTTTTAAAGCCCTTCATAACCTGACCCCTTCTTACCTTTCCATTCTTCTCACACCTTCCTTCTTCCTCCACACTTGTCAATCCAGTGACACTGATCTTTCTGCTAATCCCTTGAATGAGCTACTCCATCTCTGGACTCCAGGAATTTTACCTGTTCACCATGCCTGGAACGCTCTCTCCTCATCTCCACCTCTTGGCTTCCCAGGCTTCCTTCAGGTCTTAGCTAAAATCTCACCCTCTGAGGCAGGTAGGTAGTACAGTGGATAGAGTACTGGCCCTGGAGTCAAGAGGACCTGAGTTCAAATCCAGCCTCAGACACCTGACACGTACTAGTTATGTGGCCCTGGGCAAGTCACTTAACTCCGATCGCCTCGCCGAACATAAAATAAAATAAAATAAGATAAAATAAAATAAAATCCCTCTGTAAGAAGCCTCTGCTGGTCCTCGTTAACTTTAGTGCCTTTCTTCTGAGATCACCCTCAATTTATCCTGGATATATCGTGTTTGTACATAACTGTTTGGATATAGCCTCCTCCATTTGGCTGTGAACCCCTTGAGAACAGGGACTGGTTTTTTGCCTTTCTTTTTATCTGTAGTACTGAGCATGCTGCCTGGCACATAGGAGGGGCTTAATAAATACTCATTGACTGACTGCCTGAATGATAATGAAATAAATATTCCCATTCCAATAGACTCTTCAGCTCTAATAGCTGAAATCTGCCTTGCCTCTCTCTTAACTGACAGAAGGAATTCTGAGCCCCAGCTGTATCCTTGTGGTCTGCTTCTTTTTAAAGTCTATCCTATTTAAATAATCAAAAGATTGAAAGTGTATTAAGGGCAACTCGGCAAGAGCTATATTACGCCCCCTATTCCCACAAGGAAGCAAGTGGACAATTTAGGAACAAAATACGTTATAGGTGTTACGTAAAATATGAATGTAATAGCAATTTATTCATGTTTTTGCCTCTGTCCACCTTACCCACCCCCTTCTCAACAGATTGAGATGTTATTTAAATTACCCAGAAACATATAGCTTGCATCATTCTGTCACTAAGAGTAGCCCAAAAGATGAGTCAAGTTAAACCCAGTAAATGAAATGACTTTAAAAGGTAGATAAGACCTTTCAGGAACCACTAAGAAGTTACGAAAGCAGCTTGTGTGCGGATCCCACCTTCTTTAGGAAGTCTTTCCCAAACCCTCTTCATTCTACTGCCTTCCCTCTTTTAAGGATGGTCTAGTCATCCGATACATAGCTTGTATATACATATCTCCTCAGATGTTGGCTCTCTCATCAGATTGTGAGTTCCTCAAGGGCAGGGGCCGTCTTTTGCCTTTCTTTCTAAGCCCAGAGCTTAGCACAGTTCCTGGCACATAGTAAGTGCTTAATAAATGCTTAGCAACTGACAATCGAGAATCAAATAGCAATTTAATAGCCCTCGCAATTGGGATTCATGAGATCCTAGTTATCCATGGAACAAGAAGCACTGGGTAGTGGGGAGGCCTCAGGAGATCTCAGTTTGAACCCCAATTATTCCATTAACTAGCTATGTGGTCTCAGACAAGTTACTCAGTTTTCCCCAGGGCCAGACTTCCTGTCTGTCACAAGAGGCTCACATGACCTGACAAGAAGCAGTGTAATGACAGGGAGAGAAGAGGGCTAGCCTTGAAGCCAGAAAGATTTAGATTAGTGTGATACATCCTAGCCGTGTGATCCCAGGCAAGTGTCTGGACCTCTCAGTGCCTTGAGTAACACTCTAGACTCAGTTGCACATGATTTGTGGCTCTGAATTGGTGGAGGGACTTATTACTGGGAGGTTCCCAACACTGAATGGACCAAACAGGCATTGAGAGGAGGCCAGAATCCCCTGGCC